GTGTGGTTGTTGTGCCAGCAACAACAACCACAATGAGCGGAAGGAAGAGGACAAGGAAAAGGGCAAGGGACAAGAACCACCTCGACAATAACAACCAACAACAACAACCACCACCACCACAACAACAACCCTAAACCAACACTTTCTCAACAACCAAACAGAAGGAAAGCAAAGGACACAGACAAGAACAACCTTGCCCCTTGCCCTCCTCCTTGTCCTATTCCTCCCTCTTGTTGTGGTGGTTGTTGCACCAACAACAACCACAACAAGAGGGAGGAACAAGGAAAAGGGCAAGGGACAAGAACCAAGGACAACAACGACAACAGCAGCAGCAGCAGCAGCAGCAGCAAACAACCACAACAACAACGACAACACAAAAACAGCAACAGCAACACCCAGCACCAACAACTGTAATTGCAGCAACAACAGCATGTGGCTTAACTATAAACCATGCTACCTTGCTTGAGCTCGATCTCCCGCTCCAGGCCCTGGATCTTCTGCTTGCGAACCATCGACACCAACTGGCCAACAAACGCATCCATCATCTGCACCTCCTCCTTCGTGATGTCAATGTGCGCATGCACAGTGACCTGGTGGGTCCAATTCTGCCAGGCCTTCGACACCGAGTAGAAGTCAGACATCCCCGACTTGGTCAAATGGAGCTGCCCAAACGCTGCCTTTGCCTCGGCGCCGACAGCGCTGAACCATGTCAGTTCGACATCCGACATCTTCTTTCCCCCACTGGTCCAGAAGCCCCACATTGCCGTCGTAAAAAAGTCAGGGAAATAGATGCAGCCAGCGTCCGCGTCTGACAGCTTCTTGGGTTCCGACTTCGACTTTGACTTCTTCGTGCTGCAGTTGGCCCTCATCAAGTTCTTGAAGATGTACCCGACGGCCACATAGTGCTCCTGTCGACGAAGCTGGTACAAGTGCCAGCCCTGTGGACTTTCCGTGGGAATTCGTTGGGGGCTCAACTCGGACCCCGCAGGGCTGCCACGCGCACTCAAGCGTGCCAGCCAAGTTCGAGCAAGGATGCTGGGAAGCATCCGCTCTGACTCTGTCAAGACCATCCCATCCATCGTGAAAGTTTCTTGGCCGTCATAGTCACGCACGAAGCCTTTCTCAAATGCCTTCTGGGGAGACGACACTTCGACCTCGAAGATGCGGAATGTGCGACTCTCGAGCACCTCACGCACGTCCATCAAAGAAGCTGTAGGAGGTGTGCTAGGCAGCTGCCCGTCCGACAGCTTGTAGCCCAACCTCAGTTTGCACTGTTCAGAGGGGCAGACAATTCGCTTAAACCTACCTCAGATTACAGCAAGGTGGCTTCCGCACACATCCTCTGAAGTGCGCACAGATTGCTTTGCCGACTGTTGGGTAGAAGCTCACTGCGGAATCCTGCAGCTGGTTCAAGGCCATGTGCTGTGGCCCCGCAGCATACCCAATCATGGCACGACACGACTCCGACATGAATGAAGGTCGAAGCACGGCGCGGGAAAGATCAGTGCTGGCTTGAGAGCAAGCTTCAATACAGCACAGTGCGTGCGGCGCCGGAATGTAGCAAGGCAGCAGCACTGGGGACCAAACATGGAACCGAGTCTCGCCATAGGCAAGCACGAGCGAGGCTCCTTTCAGATTGAAGCATGCGCTTCAAGCAAGCTATTGAGCAAGGGATTGCACAGGCTAGGCTGAATAGGATCGCAGCATGCACTTTTTTCAACCCCGAATCTGACTGTCTGCTGCAGTCATTTGGGAACCTGAGCATCATGGAGTCCGCTTCCCCTTCTTCTCCTTCTTCTCCTTTTTCTTCTTGCTTGACTTCTTGAAGCTCTTCTGGCAGTGAGGGCATGTAATCGGGTTCGACTCCGGGGAAGGCTTGGGGTGCAGAATCCGGTAGGCTGTCTTGGCCATGTGCAACTTCTTCTCGTCGTTGATCATATCCTTGTTCGTGCCTTCCTCCGACAGCGTGTCACTTGTGCCTCCCCGGTACCCCAAAGTGCGCAGTGCCTGCAGTGTCGACTTCGGCACACTTGTCCCTCCTCTCTGCGCACAACGAGCCACAACGAACACGTGCACAGCCCCCTTCTTGGGACCCGTCAGCGCCACTGGAAATCGCGTGTTCAGTTCGACCACCTTGGCCACGGTTGGCTTTTACACCATAAACAAATTCTCTGGCAACACCTGCCTTACGATGACAATCTTGAACTTCTCCCACTGGCTGAGGCATTCCTGTGTGAACCCACCAACCTGCTGCCAATATTCATTTCACTGAAAGACTGGGCAAACATATGCGACGGTGTATTCCAACCGGCCTCCTGCAACAAAGCCGACAACCGACGCTGTTGTAGGCTCACCTTTGCGGCCTGGCAGGGCACACTACTTGCAAGAGCGCGCAGACACGCGCAAAGCGTCGCCTGTCAGAAGGGCACCTGTCTGGTTCACGTACACGGTCATCGAAGTGAACCTGCAAAGTTATGTTCATTTCCAAGTGTAAGAATGC